TCAGAAATTGAGATAAACATCTCCGACAAAGAAATTGAAATGGTCGAGCAGGACGCAAGGACTCAAGCTAAGGGGCCAGGATTTTTTAGATATAGATATAAGAATTGGGGTTTTTTTTTAAATGTCACGCCACGTTACCCAATCTTGACTTTCATTAAACGCCTTAAAGCAGGGTTTGAATAAAAGGGCTTGAATTTAACAGTTCCTCAAACAAATAACAAGTCGTTTCTAAAAGCCCGAGGTTTGTAGCCTTTGGTTATATGACGTCTTTATATACAATATAACGCCGTGATTCGATCACAATGAACATGGTTCAGGCTGCATTCGTGGAAGAAGTTTGTAGTCTTTAGTTATGTTAAGTTAAATCGTATTACGTGTCCCGATCTCAAGGCATAGAGGCTGTCTTATCTAGTGGTTCGCCGCATTCGTTCGCAGTCAGTCAAGAGATTCCCCTTCCGCTTCTTTTCGGAGATCTTGTGTTTTTTATTTACTAAGTTTACTTGTGCTGGATGAACTTAACAGGATTGCGATGATCTGTTAATACAAGTCTGGAAAATCAAATTCTTTGCTCTACATTTGCCTGTGCTGTATTGAATTCCAAACACTAATCGCTCACAACTTCTACTTTTCGCTCCATAATTAACTGTGTACCTTGAAAAACAAAACCATGACATGAAACGAGCACTCTTCCCGCTCCTTAGTTAAATAACGGATTACACAATAGAAACATGCCAACTTGTGTCTCGGAAATCACATAAATAAATAGATACAAAAAAGGGCAAAAGAATCAACTGATCTGTCAGTTGAATGGGGCTTGTGAGCAATTAATGCTAAAGGATCATGTGGCGTTACTTCATTCGTGTCATTGAATCTAATTCCCTTTTAACAGAAAGCCCAAAGCATCCACAGAACAAAAATTCTATTTAATAACGATAAATATATTCCCGAAAGACGGCCTCAAAAAGCAGCATCAATAATATAATTTATTCTAAGAACTTGATTCTTGTGAAGCTATGGATTTCTAAACCTAATGTTTTTTGAGGGGCAAGCCTAAAAGGCAATGAGGCTTCGAAAGAAATTTCACTTCCTCAATTAATATTCAGTCTAAGGAATGCATAGTCGCATTCGTAGCCGTTTCCGGTCACATCACATGATATGATTACGACTGAAATGCTTCTGTGAGCTCTTTACTCGCTTGCTCCACGCGGCGTAGCTGGGTGCTGACCACAACTCCGAATACAACTTGCAAAAGTTGTATTTAAAGCAGGTACATATAATATATATGTACCTATAATAATTAATCTTCAACCTTTGAGTGTAATCGTTGGAATAAGGGAAGTGAGGATTCCACCAACTTCATTAACGGTGCCCCATTAAAATAATAACCAACGGTTGTCTATCGTCGTCTGTGACAAACAACCAGGGGGTTTTACTTATTGCCTGGCAGGGGGGAAGAGGGCGGATTTTGTTCGTGACACGATGAAATTTTCCTAATTTTCCTAATCCCCCCATAAGGCCATCTGATAAACTTATTTTCCCCCATCCCTCATTGGCAGTCAAGTTTCTTTAGCCCCCCCACTCCCACCCCCCTTGTACAGATCCCTCTCCACTTTAACTGAAAACCATGTGAACGAACGAAAACCATGTGGACTGAACAAAGACTGTAATTTATTCAGTGATAAAATATGGCGGTGCAAACTACAATTACAATTTTTTTAAAACAATTTTCATTAAAGGAAGAATAACTGAAAAAGACTGAATAATTTTATGCCTGATGTACTTGCTTTGTTGTTTGCTTTGTATTTGCTTTCTTGATTCTACAGCTTAATGAGAAACATTGTTTACACGATTTAAAGGATATCTACATATCATTGAGTCATACATTTAGACTGTCCTGTTAAAACAGAATGCGTAATACAGTATAACACAATTCAGCCACCAAAAATTATGTTCATTCCTCTGTTGTAAGTCCATCATCGAATGGTAAATTCCTGTAAACAAAAGTTTCCGTAAGTCTCTTTTGACGGCGTAACTAATCAAAACATGGATAAAATTAAGCTGTCCCACCTGAACCAAAACGGAAATGATGCTTAAATGCCAACTAAATCATCATTACATGGCGTAACTAATCAATGCATGAATAAAATTAAGGTGTTCCTCCTGAACCAAACTTTAAGCCTAAGTTATTTTTGGATCTTCTTCTCTCAGGATCTCGTGCGTGACTCGTTTTCATAAAAATTTCGATTTTTTAGTTGATTTAGTGAACAGATTTTCAAAAAAAGATATCTTATGATCAGAAAACTGTGGAACATGTTCAGAGACGAATGGGTTTGATTCCGCGCGGGGCTTTGAAGCAACATTCACATCTTAAGGAATCACACTTAACTCTACTCGTGCCCGCGCCGCAAATGTTTGGCCGGCCAAATTACTAACTAGTCTACAAAACACCTATATGATTGATGCCAGGAGGTTCAGGGCAGTGTGCACCATGGTAGATTAGTCACACACTAGAATTCGGCAATTTATCAATTTTTCTTTCTTCCGTTTCGTCTCTACAAAGCGCTTCCACTCACCTTCATATAAAGTAGGTATCATCTCCTATTCCTGTCTTTCATCGTGTTCCACTGGCACCTTGGGCCTCCTTGTTGCTTCATTCTGAGGCGAATTGCAAAATTTTAAAACCAGAAATGATATTATGCCGCCGATAGCAGCGGACAAGACATACATCCAAATATCTTGAGACACACACATCTTTTCACCTTCGTGTATCGCAGTGTGTACAGCCACTGTTACACTTCACTTGATACGCGCTATTTATTTGGAGTATCTTGATTGGCTGATTTTAATTTGATTGGCCTCCGGGCAAAAGACGGAAGTTCAAACACTGCTGCTGTTAAACAGAATCTTGATGACTTTACTTGATACGCGCTATTTATTTGGAGTACCTTGATTGGCTGATTCTAACTTGATTGGCCTCCGGGCAAAAGACGGAAGTTGAAACACTGCTCTTGTTCAACGGGATCTTGATGGTCTGCAACTGGCTGATTCTAACTTCCGGTTATTTGAAGTGTGATTGCGTGCCGCTTTTTGATGATATCAATAATCATGATCATAACCAAACGTCTTAAAGTTGGAAACCGAAAGTTGTGCAAAACCCTCGACTGTGCCTAACTCGAATTCGCCTAACGCATAAGCATTCCCCCATTTCGTAAGTAAACAACATCATTGGAAAGAGGAGCTGATGCTCCCTCAAAACACACCGTGATTGTAAGTGGCTTTTTGTGAACAATAGAAGAAGCTAAATAACTTACATGAGTTAAAAAAAGTCTAAACTTCTGTCTTCTCGTGGTTTAAATTTGTTGACTTGTCGTCGCTGACTGCAACCCGCGAGCGAGGACCGTTACACACCAAAGATTAACATACAGGTCACCAAACAATTTAACTTTCGCTTTCAGATATTCTTCCTGCTTAGGAAATGTTTAAAGAAGCGTTGTCTGACCGAAAAACTGCAATTTGAGGCTTTAGAGCCAGCAGTAAGCTAGCGTAGGTCCGAGCTCCACGTGTAAAGATCCTTGCACCAGTAAGATGAATATTTAACGTCGGCAGTATATTTGCAATTCAATTCGAACTTTCCGCGTGCCTCGCAATTAGTATCCGAAATGACACCGTGTGGAGTAGGGCAAAATGTTTCTTTTCTGGCGGTGATATTTTTATCTCGGAGGTCTAAGATCCTTGTCTCGTAAGAGAGTTTGAAAATGTTGTACACAAATAAATAGCATTCCAGAAGTACTGACCTGAAAATACTCATAATTGCGCAGAGACTTCTCAAAATCAGTGCCACGAATTGCATGAGTACTAGGGTCTAATTGTACTGGTATGATTTTAAGAATAATGCCACAGTCAGAGCATCGAGCATGATGCCAGCAGAGTGAATAAATTCTTAGAAATTCCCTTGAAGTTTTAGTTTTACATGAGATAAATTCTGCAGCCCGAGTTATGTTTAACAGGTCAATAGCCTGCTTTTCTCGCTTGCACTTTTGGACATTGATCACGAACAAAATATTATTTTCTGAGCTTCAGTATACCTTTTATTCCTGGCAAGTTTTACCTCGTTGGTGGTAGAAATAAGGGGGAAGGGGTAGGAGGGGGAGTATTAAATTGAGCCCAGAGAATATAATCTCCTGACTTAGCCTAATAAAAACTTTGGGCATAATACCATGATTTAGGGGTGATGCTTAAAAGCATAACGCTCATGATTGATCTCATCCTACTGTGTACATGAAAGTATGAATCAATTCTGATATGGCCTTTTATCTTCTGTCGCCTTTTTTGCATCTTACCTCAAAACTACAACCACTAGTTAAAATGGCTTCGAAATGGTGTATTTTTGTTCCTTATTCTCAGTGTTATTTAGTTTTATTCCTCCGATCGAAGCACAATATGTTCTTTTACTAGATTAGATTCTGAGTGGAATTCTTCATATAACATACCTTTCCGGAATACAAATATCTTAGCGACATCGTGCCATTAATATTGTCTTAGCATAACACTAATCTAAACAAAAAAAACTGTTTTTTCCTGACCTATCAGATTTAGTATAAATTAAGCATGTATATCAATGACACTAAATTATGTCACGTGCTGGTTTGGACCTCAACGAATACATAACTCACTTTGTCAACGGTGCGTTGTGATCTCTCTCGTCAGAAAGACTCGTAGTCAAGCAAACAAGCGTCTTTCTTGCGCAAACATGACCGAAAATGCCTCAAAAGAACCACGCAACACAGCTAAGAGTCCTTACTACTGGGACATGATGCGGTTACTCGACAATGCCCGCAAAGAAGGCGAATTGACAGATGTTACTCTGTGAGTGGAAGGAAAAACATTCCCCGCTCACCGATGTGTTTTGGCAGCCAGTAGCCAATTTTTTCAAGGTTTATTTACCAACGATATGAAAGGAAAATCGGCGTCAATCGTAAATATCGAAGGAATTTTCGGCGATGAATGAGTTCTCGTCCTACCTTTACACAGGAGAGGTTCAAATGAGCGAGGCGAATGTCGATGATCTGATCGCGTCCGAGAACTACTTACTACTTCCTCGTCTAAAAAACATCGCTTGCAAGTTTAAGGAGCGGCATATGTCGACCAAAAATTGCGTTGCTACCTTTCTATATGCTGAGAAATACGATTGCAAGGAATTGAAAACATACGCTGGCGAATTAATCAAGCAGAACTTCGCGACGGTCGGCAAGTCCAAGGATTCGTGCAAATTTCGACGTCTTAGTAATTGCAACCGAAGAAGAAGTCTTCGAAATCGTTCTAGAATGGATCGCGCAAAATCAAGACGAGAAGGAGCAACATTTTGCGGAGTTCGACTGAGCAGCATATCCGATCAATATTTGTACACAAAGCTTATGTGCCATGAACTAGTGCAGGCAAATGGCGAGTGTAGGGAAATATTAATGGACGAAATTCGCTGGCGTGCCTTGTACTCTGGCCAACAGATCTCCCGACAAAAACCAAGAACTTGTCTTCAGACTCATGAAGATGCAATCATCACATGCGGTGGCCTGTCGCCAGATGAACGCATTCGCAACTTGACTGTGTGTTATGTTCCGGCTACGAAAACCTGGTACGAGTTGGCACCCATGCTTAACAGACGGTTTCGCCATGGTTTGGCTTCCTGCCGGGGATATGTTTATGCCATCGGTGGTAAAGGAGAAGACTCGGTCTACAACAGCGTAGAACGATATGACCCGCGTACAAACTCATGGGGCTTTGTAGCACCACTGCCTCAGAGAGTGACATTAATGGATGCAGCCACCTTACAAGGGCTGCTGTACGTCACTGGCGGGATTGCGTTCAGCAGCGAGCACGGTGGTAGGCGTTGTGACACTGCGCAGAGGTACAATCCCTCGACAAACTCTTGGACTGTAGTTGCACCTCTAAAGAGACGCAAGTCCTCTGTTTGTCTCGTGTCAGACACTCACTATTTGTACTGCATTGGTGGCTTGGCCGACGATGGTTTCCTCTCTGATGTGGATCGTTATGATCCAAAGTTGAACGTATGGACACAGATGGCTCCGATAGGCGAACAGCGTGGGTGCGCTTGTGGAGTGTGCCTTGAAAATAAGATTTACCTCTTTGGAGGTACTGTTGACCCATTTTCTTTAAGTGCCCTCGTAAGTTGCGAGGTTTATGATATTACTTTGAACGAATGGCAATCAATCGCTCCCTTACAAGTTCCCAGATTTCACGGAAGTGCAGTCCTTTTACGAGATCAGGTATACTTATTTGGCGGAACCGGAAGTCAAAGTGTCGATCGGCAGAATTCTCGTATGGTGGAGTGTTACGATATCAAGTCAAATACCTGGCTCGATGCTCATTCTATGCCACATATGAGACATACTTCAGAGGATGCCCAGTAAGCATGTTTAAAGATCTACTACAGTCTGTGAACAAAGTTACAACTCTTCCCCAAAGTAGTTAGGTATGTTGAGTCCGTATGACAGTTACCCTTGCGGGTTTTAATGCGAACTTCTACCAGCCATAACTTTTAAAAGCCATCGCAGCCCGCCTGCTAACGTAAACTCAGGAAAGGTTGTTTTCACGGGAAAAAGTTCTTTCTAAATGAATGGAAAGCATTCCCTTGGAAAATTTTTATTTCAATTATGAGATGAAAACATTTGTATTTGTGAACTGTCACTCAATTTGGCAAATCTGTTTACGTTTTTTATCGAATTGAGAGGGCTTGTCTAACGTATTTTAGTTAAAAGGAACAGGATCTCATTTATTTCCAAGAGTTTGTTTAGTATAGAAGGAGTAAGTCTCTAAAGCGTTAGCCCTTCGTCAAAACAAATGACTTTGTTCTTGAAATAAAAACCGTGATCATTGGAAGGTCTGCTAGTTTGTTTGCAATTATGATCGAGAAGATGTGGAAATGGTTTAAAATCGCAAGCAGAATGCATCATAAATTTATATATAAGACCAGTTACCTTAAAACCATCTGGAGGTTCTCGCTGAACGTAAACAAATTCTCGAGATAAATTCACGAGTGTAAAGAATGCTTGAAATCACCTTTTGACTTAACAATCAAACATTTACATTCATGACTGAGATCTTCCTTGAGTCACGCGACTGGAAAAAGATCACGCAATTTTCATTTTTTTATTGTTAATAATAAAACTGTTAGAGTTAACCATTTCTGATTAAAATAAACTTGTTTGACTATCAGTGAGATATCATTGCGTCGTAATCAAACCCTGAAACTGCTATGCTATCGTTTCTTCGGTTTGATTGCAAATTTAATAACAACATATCATTCAAGAAAGGTACACTGATTGCGGAATATTAATTTGTCTATGTTACGGGTCGTTTAACGCGAATGACAATATTGAAATAATTTGTTCACACAACAGTTTAAAAATTCTTAACTAATGACTAAAATTTATACGAAATTTGATTATTTCTTACCTAAAGATAAGTTCAGAGATACAACATCCAAAAGAACTTGACAAACATCTAAGAATTGTAACGCCACTACCTCTACAGTCTCATAAGACACAACGTTTACACTATTATAAAAATCAAACAATAGTTGCTTAAAGAAACATTTACATAAGCTAATCAGAGCTAAACAGTCCATTGATCAACCAATCTGCGTCGTCTTCCGTTGGGTACGAATGACAATCTTATCACGTGATAAACGAAAGAGAGACCTTATGTGACAAAAGAAAGAGAGAGAAGAATTTCAAACGGTATATCATCGTATCTTTCATAATATATTCAAGCACGGATAGAAGTTTCATACAAGTGGAAATGGGGTCTACATTCCCACCAGGAAATGAGGGATGCTCTAAAAATCGAGATAATACGTCGGCAAACAAATATTTTTGATTCCTAGATATGAATTAATAAAAATTCGTCGGCAAAGTTGTACATAAAGAATCTCTAGGGAAGAATCTGCTCTACCAAGTCACTTGTACGGTACACTAGTTCAGTATACACGTTTGTAACACAACCTTGTTACACAACATAAAGAAACACGGAAGAAAGTTTCATTATGGTTTTTCCTTTTATTTTAAGGTTTTTAAATTCATGTCCAACTTCAGAGGCAACCATTACTAGATTTTTTACCGCGCACCAAATAGTGCCAGGGAAACACTGTCTGATTGCTTTTTATCACCGAGTATCAATTAAATGTTCTCAAGTAAATCATTCATCTTTCAGAGCTGAGCGTGTGTGTTGCGTTTATAAAAGGCAAACTAGAATGACAAGAAAGAATCCCTGTACCATGGACTATCGCTCAAAGTTGTTTTCGCTCACTCACCGAAAATTTGTTTTCAACTAGCCCATTCTTTCGTCATGCTCTTGTGGGACTTTGCGTGTCCTCATCGCTTGATTCCCATATCTTGACAATAACATGAACACCAGGAGTACTATAATGGCACCAACGGCAGCGGATACAGCACACAAACATATATCTCTGGATGGAAACATCTCTACTTTAGCCTCTGTGCTTCTGATGGCCCCTTATCAGCTCCGAGTTGGAAATGCTAATAAGAACCGAATACTATCTCATCGAACTAGTTTTGTTGCATCTTATTAACTAAATGACGTCAGATGTAGATGTAGCAGATGGCGAATCATATTTCAATGTAGCTAACATGTGGTAGCTAGGGTGCTCTAATAAGGGAATTCCCCTTATTAATAATTTGCAGAATATTTGGATGTCACGCCTTTTTGGTTTAACGTTTTTTTTCGCTCTTTTCTCGGACAAAGTTTACAGTGGGCCTCTTTTGTTATTGGACTTTTGAAAATTGTGACCAGAACCCTCCAAAAGACAATTTCATATGAATATATCGCCTACTTAAAGGTAGTTCACACTGAAATGTTGAATGTGTTTAACATGTGTATTGCGCGACTGGCATTGGCGTTGGTGTGTGTTGGTGTGGTGGGCGTTGGTTTCGCTTGTCACTATAATCCACCAACACCCACAAATAATCACTTCTCCTCGAGTGACCTCTGTAATTTGTTAAGCAGAGGTCACTCGAGGAGAAGTGATTATTTTTGGGTGTTTGAAATACCTGAATCTGGATTAAATTGAGCATTAATAAACTTAAATCTAAATTTTTACTGTCAGTTAAGAGTTTTAAAAAAATAGAACCGAAAAAGGTTTATGAATTTGTACCACCGCAGATTCACTTAACTGTAGAAAGTTTCTCAAGTGATCTATTATTGAATTGTCTAATCCTAATAATTGTCTAATCCTAATAATTGTCTAATGTGTATTTCGTGACCGGTCGTCACGAAATACTCGCCCCGTCTTCTTACTGAATACAAACCACGCGGATGTAAAGACTTATATATCACATTTTTAAGACTGTTATGACTTGAACTCAAGTTCAAAATTTTAAATTTTGATGAATGGGAGCAAAACTGCGACTTCAACACAAAAAGACGCACAGAAATTGCAGTTTGATCGGAGAAACCGAAACTGAATTCGTGACTTCATCCCATCTCATCTCGGTAACGTGAGATACTGAACCAGGGTACCACGATCTCACCTTACAGATGACGATGACGTCACGAGTTCAGCCAGAAAAACAGACGAGAGGTTTGATTGAGAAGTTAAGAATTCTGTAAGCTAAAATGGCTTTTTTCTCCGATCAATTTTTGCGCGATGTATTGTTCTTCGCTGTTGGTGGAGTTTCCACGGTAGCGATTTTAAAGATCTGGGAAAATAGAGAATCAGTGCTGAGAGAAATCGGGAGACGATTTGATTCAAACGAAACCCGGGAGCCAGTAGAACACGACGAGAGGTTTGATTGAGAAGGTAAGAATTCTGTAAGCTATGAGAATATTTTATCAAAGTCTGACAGAATAATAATTATCTCCGAAAAACTTAATGATACGTGCAGTGACTTCTTCGACAGCGACACGGAAAAGGTTTTATAATTTTTTACTTTTGCTACAATTCACCGAGGAAATTTTCTTAATTTTGCCCAAGTAGCGCGACGAAGTAAAACAACAATTAGACGCGGGATCGCGCGCGTTTTTCTCTCGCGCTACTTTAGGTGAATGTTCCGAATGAATATTCAGAGTGATCATTAAGCTGTGGTCAAAAAGGCACGTCTTCTTTCTTGTCGCTGAAGGCTGATAATCTGTTTCTCGCTACAGAAGCTCGCGTTTCATGCGAAAGACTTGAAGACAGAATATTTGTACATTTTTAACATTTCAAAAATCCTATGAAAACGAGTCACATAGGACTCCTATGTGACTCGTTTTCATAAGAGGCCCTTGTTATAATGTTCTTTTTAATTTTTTCGAGAAGTTCACGACATTTCGTTTAGTTCATAATGCCTCATTTTAAACCATATCAATTTGCGATCAAGTCTAAATATAGATTTAACCCCGTAAACTGAACATTTGCGATCTTGTTAACAATACTTTGCCTCGTTATGCTGAAGGAAATCAACGGGAGTCAAACCCGGAAGCAGTGGTCACTCGAATGGTCTTTAACAGTATCTTGCGATGATTCAAACAACTGTTGAAATTCTTATTTTGACAGCCCACGGTAGACTGTAATTACATAAGAACAGCGGGCCAAAATGCTTACGTTACTTAACGTTATGTTAATACACAGCTGTGTTAACCTTAAATTTCAAATTTCCCTCTTCAAAATACACACGTGAAACGAGAAGGTAATGACACTGACAGTCAAGATCTCTAACCTACATGTTTTTACATAGTTAATGCATAGCTACAGAGTAACCAGATAGCAATTGAAGGACAGAGAAGTTAAAAATGTCAATGTTAAACAATGCCTATATTTTTTAATTCTTCAGATATGACAATCTCTCGAGAAATCAGGGAAGCTAGTGTGTAATGGTCTGATCCAGTCGACGTCTTCTTTGTATGCTGTGCTGTAAAGGCTTTTAGAACTGTATATATTGAATGTCACAAATGGGTACGGCAGTTCATAAATGCGTCCTAGCCTGTCGTCATTGCTTAGCCTCGCCGAATTATATAATACAGAGCAAAAATAATTGTTGTATTTGTGATAGTGACCATAGGAAAAGTGGGTTTGCAATTTGTTTACATGATAATATGTAATAAGAATATAATGTCAATCAGCTCCTTTTTTGCCGATACCGCTTCTGTAGTCGTCATTTTTTAGAGTTTTTGCTATGTATTGAATGTTGTAGTCTTACTGATGTACGAAATAAAATAAAAAATTAAAAAGGAACCGTTATTTACTTGCGTGATTTTTTTTTAGTGTCGAGGGGACCCAAGAAAGATCGCTCAGCCACTTCAATGTCTATTTTAAGAACAGTGTTTCGTCCTGATGGCTTATCGTCCGTCAGTCCTATCTAGAATGTTTTGATTACAAACTCTGAAAAACACTACAGCGAAATTTCGTAGGCGA